AGGCCAACTATGGAAGAGACCATCAATTTTTCATATGCAAGTTCAGGGCCTGAAGCTGAAGAAAGCTAAAACAAGTTCTTGAGAACCAAAATACAACCTGGAGTGCATCCCACCTGAATTTAAAGACCATCTCAAAAACAGATTTGTTTTATTCTACACTAATGAATGAAGACCGGAGAAGTTGTAGGATGACATCAAGAGCATCATGCATAAAGCAAAAGGTCATTCAAATGATAGGAGAGAAAGAAAAGACCAAACTGAATGTCAGAAGAAACTCTGAAACTTGTTCTTGAATGTAGAATAGCTAAAGTGAATGGAAGAAATGATGAAGTAAAAAACTGAACAGAAAATGTCAAAGGGCAGCTCGAGAAGATAAAGTAAAGCATTATAAGGAAATGTGCAAAGACATGGAATTAAACAACCTAAACAGGAAAAACAAGTTTGGTATTTCTTAAGTTAAAAGGACTGAAAAAATATGCAGGGCTCAAGCTGAAATATTTAAGGATTCTATGGGTAAAATATTGAACAATGCAAGAAGAATCAAAAGAAGATGGAAGGAATACACAAAGTCACTATAACAAAAAGAACTGATAAATGTTCAGCCATTCCAGGAGGTAGCATATGATCAAAAACTGATGGTACTGAAGGAAGAAGTCCAAGCTGCACTTAAGGCATTAGTGAAAACCAAGGCTCTAGGAATTAACAGAAGACAAATTGAAATGTTTCCACAAATGATAAAGTATTGGAAACACTCACTAGGTTATGCCAAGAAATACAGCCAATCAATTGGAAGCTATCCATATTTGTGATTCAACTGAATGTAGAAATTATTGAACAATAACATTAATATCACTCAAAACCAGTTGCAGCGGTGCATTGACAGGGAGCTGCCAGAAATTCAAGCCAGATTAAGAAGAGGACATGGAACCAAAGATATCAGTATTAATGCCAGAAGGATCTTTGCTAAAAGCACAGGGTATCAGAAAGGTGTTTATTTGTGCTTCATTGACCATGCAAAGACATTCAACTGTGTGAATCATAAAATAGCCTATGGATAACATTGTAAAGAATGGTAGTTCCAGAATACTTAACTGTGCTCACGAAGAACCTGTACACAGACCAAAAAGCAGTCATTTGAACAGAACAAGGGAATACCATGTTGTTTAAAATCAGGAAAACTGTTTGTCATGGCTGTATGTTTTTGTTATATTTATTCAATCTGTATACTGAGCAAATAATCTAAGACAGTAGATGATATGAATTACATGTCATCAGGATTAGAGGAAGATTCATTAACAACCTGAGATATGCAGATGACACAACTTTGCCTGCTGAAAGTGAAGACAACTTGAAACACTGAAGATCAAAGAACACAGCCTTCAATATGGATTACAATTCAATGCAAACAAAACAAAAGCAACAGAACCAGTAAGCAACATCATGATAAATGGACAAAAGATGGAACCTATTAAGAATTTCATTTTACTTGAATCCACAATCAATGATCAGTGAAACAAAGGTCAAGAAATTAATCGACATATTGCATTGAAAAATCTGCAGCAAAAAACTCTTTAAAGTGTTAAAGAGCAAAGATGTCACTTTGTGGACTAAGGTGCATGTGACCCAAGGCATGGTATTTTCAATCACCTCATATGCAAGTGAAAATTTGATAAAGAATAAGCAAAACCAAAGAACTGATGCCTTTGAGTTATGGTGTTGCCAAAGAACAGTGTAAGTACTATGGACTTCCAAAAGAACAAACAAATCTTTCTTGGCAGAAGTACAAACCGAATGCTCCTTAGAAGCAAGGCTAGTGAGACTCACGTACTTTAGAGATGCTATTAGGAGGGATCCTGGAAAAGGACATCATGTGTAAAAGAGGAAGGCCCCCAATGAGAGGGGTTGGCATAGTGACTCAAACATAACAATTGTGAGGATGAGCACAGGACCTGGCAGTGTTTCATTCTGTTGTGTACAGGGCCGCTATGTGTTGGAGATGAGTGGATAGCACCTAACAACAACAACAACAATATTTTTAAAGGTAGCAGAGTGCAATTGGTTAGAAATTTAGATTCTGGATTCAAATCACCTGGCTTCAAATTGGTTTCAAGCACTGGTGAGCTAAGTAGTCTCAGGTTGTTCTGGAAATTAAATAATATCACACTTGTGACTACATACAGAAAAGACTTAGTAAATGTGAGTTGCTACCACTGTTACTGGAGTCCTGGTGTGGCACTATGGGTTAATGTGCTGGATGGCAAAGTCTGTTTAAACTGTAAGGTCAGTGGTTCAAACTCACCAGCCACTCCTTGGAAAACCTACACAGGGTCGCTATGGGTCAGAACTAACTTGAAGGCACACAACAACAACAACCACTATTACTAAGGAGTTCTGGTAGTGCAATGATTATGAGTTGGGCTGCTAATCTCATGGTCAGCAGTTTGAAACTACCGTAAGTCCATGGGAGAAAGACGAGGCTTTCTGCTTCTGTAAAGATTTATAGCCTCAGAAACTCTTAAACAGGGTTGCTGTGGTCGGAACTAATTCAAATTGATTGGCACATAACTAACACCACCACTATTATTAGGCAAGAGAAAAATTTAAATGTTTTACACTCTAACTGCCTTACTGTTGTCATCCCAAAATGGCAAGCTAAAACTTGCTTTTTTGACTTTAATTTTTTTCCAGTTCAAATACCTGAGCTCCTGCCTTATTTCTTGGACCAAGTTGTCACTTTTTGCGTTGGGACAGCTAATGATAGTGGAAAGAACATCACATATGGAATCAGAAGATGTGTGTTCAAATTCAACTATTAAGGATATAATTTATGCTACAAAACTCTAGGGTCTTAATCACCCATTTTGCATGTTAAAGCAAGTTCTAAATTTTGTTTTGTTTTGTTTTTAAGGAAAAGTCAGCCTCTGCTCATAGTCATGTTCTACTTTTAAAGAGTAAGTGCTTTACTATTAAGTTTCTACTCTAATTACATTTCATCAAAGTATGCCCATTCTGCCTTTAGACCAGCTGAATGTTAAATCACATGACTCCAACTTTAGATAAACTATAAAATATCTGTAATTCATATTCTTATCGTGAACCATAGCTTGGTTTTGAATGAAATATATATTTATACATCTGAAATAGCAATCTGTACATTCCAATGAAAATTCTAAAATTTATCCATGAACATCAGGGAGCTATATATCTTGACTACATTGCTTTGACCTCATTTTCCCTAAGCTGTACTTTGCCTACATCAGAAACTCCAATAAAACTCTTGAGTTGATTCATTGTCAAAAAATTTACTAAGTGGACAATTAAAATGATCACTTTTACTTTCATCATAATAAATAAGTTACCAAAGTATTTTATAACTGGTGCAGTCTAAATCCTTCCTTTGTTTAGAGTAGCTTTCTGAAATACTTATGCTTAATTTAATAATCAAAAGTTTACAGCTACTGTGTGATTTTGTTTAGAACTGCCTCTGTTTCTAAGCTGGATAATATCAAAGACTCTTCAGAAAGAGGTGGTTGTTCTATGTCATGTGCATTTGAGGAAGCTGGATCTTGATTAAGTAAACTTTCATGACACAGGCATAATGTATACATAAATAAAAGTCTGTACAAATAATTTGATATATTTTTTTAGCTTATTGTAAAATACAATTAATTTCTTAACCCATTGTTGTTTTTATGTGTCGTGGAGTCAGTTCGCCTCATAGTGACACTGTACAGGGTTTCCGAGGCTGTAAATCTTTATGGGAGCAGAAAGCCTCATCTTTCTCCCGTGGAACAGCTGGTAGTCTCTAACTGCTGACCTTAAGGTTCACAAGCCTGATTCGTAACCACTATGCTACCAGAGCTCTTAACCCATACTGCTGGTCTAATGTGTATATATGGCTGAAAAATACATTTGAGCAAGACTGCTATCCAACAATGACACTAAAAATTCCTTTGTTCTAATATTTTTTTAAATTTTATTTTTATTTTAGGGCAGTTCATTAATCATTTTATTTGGTCTCCAGGAAAATGTCATGATGTCTATCTAATGGTCATAATCTAACTGTTGACCCCTTGCTCTACATAGAATTATGCATCTTGAAACTAGGTCTTCAGAGGAGGTATGACTTCAACTTGAGCTAGCTTTTTGGGAAAACAGTGATTCCTCCAAGATGGCTTTGCACTGCAGTTACCTAGTTTGATCTTCATTTCTAATTTACACCATATATCTTTTGTGTATATGTGTGAACTGAGTGATAGTTTACAAGGAAAAACATTGGCTTAACACCATTGTTTCATTGCAATGATTACAATCTCTTCTGTGCATTATCATTCAACAGTATTTTCTTCCATTCCCTCTTATTTTTTTGTTTGGGGGGGCTAGGGAGGTGTACACAAAAACACTCAGGAATATGTAATAATTTAAACAACCAAAGGGCACATTCTGCAAGTTTGTCTCCTGGCCACACTCAGTCCCTCTCTTTCCATGAGTCTAGAGTCCTCAGCTGCTCCCTGTCTCCATGTCCTCATCTCTGCCTCCATCTCTTGTGTCTCTGCTTCTCTGGATAGGGTCTTGCATTCTGCTTGTCCTCTTCTCCCTTGATGGTCCTAGGGTCCTCTGTTTCTGGACTGTAAGATTAACTACTCCCCCATTCTTGTTATAAAACTTCTACCTGTACCATTGTGACAATTGCAATTAGTCATGATAACAATTACTCACTATTGAATCATAAGAGTCTTTTCCCCATCTCTTTTCACCAGACCCATCTAGACATGATGAAAACTATTCAGTGGGGACTCTATCTTCCCCTGTACACTCTTAAACTGAACTCCCTCTTGAAAACTTGTAAGCCAGTCATTTCATGCCTTTATTGCCCCCTCATTTTAGGTAGCCAATTTCTACCTTGCTTTGTCCTAACTTTTAAAGCACATGTATATGTATCAAATGTAAGTTAAACAATCAAATATTTTATAAGTATAATGATATTTAGTAATACTCACTCTAAGTCCAGGAAATCCTGGAGGGCCGATGCTACCTACAAGTCCCTGTATAAAAGAAATGTGCAAATTAGTTAAATGTGATTCTGGAACAGCATAGAGTCCCAACTACTAAGAATAGTTCTGTGAAGGAGGAAAAATAATTTTAGGAAAGATAATATATCAAATTTTACCTTCTACTGCATCTAATGTCTGAAACTTCCCTACTTTTATTCATCCTTCTGAGATGTAAAAACCTACGGTGGCAGTTTTTATTCTTCAAAAGTCCTTCGCTCCATGCAACTGGGTGCTAGATCTATCATCTAACCTGGGATGTAAATTTCTCTAGGCTGCCTATGTATCTATTAGAGGAAGAAGTAGCTTCCATGATTTATCACGTTGTTGTTGTTATGTGCCATTCAGTCAGTTCCAACTCCTAGAGACCCTATGCACAATAGGATGAAACACTGCCTGGGCCTGCTCCATCCTCATAATTGTTGTTTTGCTTGAACTAATTGCTGCTATCACTGTGTCAATCTGTCTTGTTGGGGGCCTTTCCCTTTTTCGCTGACCCTCTACTTTACTAAGCATGATGTCCTTCTCCATCTTATTTCTTTCAAGATTATTTCAAGATCTTATTTCTTTCGGTTTCAAAAATGTCCATACACTAAGTATGAAAGACAAAGTCTCACCATTCTGGCTTCTAATGAGCACTCTGGTTGTACTTCCAACATAGACCTCTTTGTTTTTCTGGCAGTCCAATGTACTTTTCCAACACCTCAACTCAAATGCACCAATTCTTCTATTGTCATCCTTATTTAATATCCAACTTTCATATGCGTATGAGACTACTGAAAATACCATAGCTTGGGTCAGGCACACCTTCATCCTCAAACTTATATCTTTACTCTTGAACATTTTAAAGAAGCCTTGTGCAGTAGATTTGCCTAATGAAATACATTGTTTGATTTCTTGACTGCCAATGTGAGTGTTGTTTGTGGATCCAAGCAAAATGAAGTATTTGATAACTTGTATCTTTTCTCCATTTATCATGACGGCATTTATTGGTCCAGTTGTGAAGATTTTTGTTTTCTTTACATTAAGGCATAATCCATACTTAAGACTGTAGCCTTTTATCTTCATCAGTAAGCATTTTAAGTCCTCTTCACTTTCAGCATGTAATGTTATATCATCAGCATTTCTCAGGTTGTTAATGAGTCTTCCTCCTGATGCCAAGTTCGTGTTCATATAATCCAGCTTCTCAGATTATTTGCTCAGCATACAGATTGAATAAGTATTGTGAAAGAATATAACGCTGGCATACACCTTTCCTAATTTTAACCCATCAAGAATCCCCTTGTTCCATTTGGACAACTGCCTGTTGGTCTACTTACAAGTTTCTTATGAGCATAATTAAATGTTCTGGAATACTCATTCTTCTCAATGTTATCCATAGGTTGTCATCAATAAAACAGAAGTAAACATCTTTCTGGCATTATTTGCTTTCAGCTAAAATCCATCTGACATCAGCAATGACATCCCTGGTTGGACAACCTTTTCTGAACCCAATTTGAATTTCTGGCAGTTCTCTGTTGATATATTGTTGCAACCATTGTTTAATTATCTTCAGCAAACTTTTACTTGCATGTGTAATTAATAATATTGTTTGATGATTTCTGCATTCTTGTTGGGTCATGTTTCTCTGGGATGTGCACAAATATGTTTTTTCCCCCAAATTTGTTGGCTTAAATGAGTGAGTATTTCTGGTGCTGCATCAGTTTGTTGTAAGATTTTAATTTGTATTCAATCAGTTCCTGAAGACTTTTCATCAATACCCTTCCTTAGTGCAGCTTGGAATTCTTCCTTCAGTACCATTGTTTTTTTATATTATAATACCTTTTGAAATGGTTGAACATCAACTATATCTTTTGGTATAATGCACATATTTTTCATCTCCTAATGATGCTTTCTGCATCATTGAATATTTTGCCCATGGAGTCCTTCAATATTTCAAGTCAAAATTTGAATATTTTCTTCAGTTCTTTTAGCTTGAGAAATGCTGAGCATGTTCTTCCCTTTAGGTTTTCTAACTCCAGGTCTTTGCACATGTCATTATAATACTCTTTTGAGCTGCCCTTTAAATTTTTCTGTTCACTCTCTGACTTCCTCATTTTTATATTCACTTTAGCATGTCTGCATTGGAGAGCAAATGCCAGAGTCGCTTCTGACATTTGTTTTGGTCTTTTCTTTATTTCCTGTCCTTTTGCTTTCTTCCTGCATGATGTCTTGATGTCATCCCACAACTCTTCTGGTCCTGGTCATTAGTATCTAATGCATCAAACCTATTCTTGATATGGTCTCTAAATTCAGGTGGGATATATTCAAGGTCATATTTTGGTTCTTGTAGACTTGCTTTAATTTTTTTCAGCTTCAGCCTAAAATTGCAAATAAGCCCTAGAGGCTTAAATTGTTGTTGTTAAGTTCCATCCAGTTAGTTCTGACTCATAGTGACCCTGTATAGGGTTTCTGAGGAGTGGCTGATAGGTTTGAACTGTTGACCTTGTGGTTAGCAGTTGGGTGCTTATACTACAGTACCACATCCTGATTTAAATAGCCTATAAATGTTGTATAAAAAGACAGGTAGTCAATATATAGCATTAGAACATTTTCAGACTATTAAAAATACCATTAATTCTTTGTTGTTGGTGGTAAGTGTCATCAAGTTGCTTCAGACTCATAGTGACCCTGTATAGGATTTCCTAGGAGCAGCTGGTGGGTTTGAACTGCTGACCTTATGGTTTACAGTCCAGGACTGATCCTACAGTGTAACATGAACTACATTATTAAATTCTCTAAACTTCAGTTTCCTCATGTGTAAAAGAAAAATTATAATATTTGCTTTCATAGTTATAAAGATCACAATAAAAATTATGTATATAAAAGTTTTTGAAAAATTTACAAAGCACTGTATAAATCTAAGAAACTCCCAACATTGTTAAGTTATTTACATAAATGTAAAATCTTTAATTATCAATATTAATTTTTCCAGTTGATTTGTGATAGTGCCTTTGAACTCAATTACATTACAAAGTGTCTTTAAGATAATTTATTTTATATTACACTCCAAAACCATCATCATGAAACACTGTATTATTTTTAAATGAAGAACATACTTCAAAAGGAAAGTTTTAAATATTGTGTAAGTCCAATCCTAACAGATTTCATGTATATTTAACTGATAAAAAAATTAAGTAACACAGCCTCACACTAGGTAGTCAAATTCATGCATAGTATTAAAGAGAAAAGTAAACAGTACTTAGTCTATTAATGTTTAGAATGGGATGTCCCCAAAATCATGTTCAAGAAAAAGATGGTAAACATTCTATTTAAAATGTCACTTAAATTTTAAATAACTTCTGTGGAAATCTTTTCTGCTCTTATCTGTCATGCCTTATAGCAAGCAAAAATTTGTCTAAATTTACTGAATTAGTGAATATAATTATGACTTGGGACTAGAAATAAAACTGTCTTTAAATACTTAATTCTTCAACATAAATCATAGTGAGTTGGTTGTGTTTAAAAATAGAAACCATACCTAAATTATTCTACACAGACTTTTGTGATTGATTCTGTTGTTGTTAAGTGCCATTGAATTGGTTCCAACTCATGGCGAGCCTATGTAGAGTTTCCGAGGAGTGGCTGGTTGCATTTAGCAGTAGTGTGCTCATCCTACAGCACCACAAATCTTACAAGAAAAATGTGTGTACAGTATGATTGGAGGGGCTAGTGACTGGATATTCTTTGAAGAAAAAAATAAACGATAATTCTATCTAATACCAATCAACAGCAATTCATCAATATTATTTGTTAAAATTTAACAAATTTTAGAATGGTAACTCTTTCCCTAATCTGAGCAGTAACACTTAACTATCCCAAAATGAAGGCATTTTATGAAACACTCAAAAATCAGGTGGAACAGTGAAGGATCTGAGTCCAAAACAGCGATTACTGAGTGCCCAATTCTTTACACGAAACTTGCTGGCACTTTCATGTACATGGAAGGTTCTCTTCTTGTCTCAGGGACATACAAGGCAGTATTGTGGTCAAATAGTTCCACTATTTTACTTAAATGATCATATTCAACATGGCTAAGAGAATTCATTTTATGATAACCTGTAAAGACAGGACTCAATTTTGGACTATTTCCAATGCTGAAGTATAACAAATTGAAGTTTGCACAGTGGTTCAAAACTGTCCACTAATGTTTATTCACAGAACATACTAATGAGGATAGCAAATGTAGTCACTATGGAGTCTAAGGGATGTTTCATGTAACATTAGATCATCATCACATTGTACTCACAGGACTGCCATCAGGACCAGCGGGGCCTCTGTCTCCAAAGTCACCGGGAAAACCCTGGCACAGAAACAGGAAGAATGTTCTTAAAGCCAAAATTATATATAAATAACTCAATGATTTCTGAAAAGGAATCAAAGAATAGAAAATATTTGTATCCTAACCAAAAAATTGCAATACAAAAAGATTTTTTTGCATAAACTTCATTGATTTTATAAGTAAACTATTTCTGTATTTTATTAAAATTATTAGATGTACCAAATAATACATATAGAAAACTAAACTGGAGATGACCAAAAGTTGTTCATTACAATATAAATAATCACTAAATGAATGGGAACATAACCAAGATTTCTGGCTGACCAATCCATTAGTGTCTCCACTATTCTATGCTGTTTGTATAGCCACACCACAAATGACTAATATTATTAAGCATTTACCATATCCTAGGAGCCTTGGTGTGGAAATGTAGGATACGCACTGGACTCCTAACCACAAGGTTAGCAATTCAAACCCACCAGCTGCTCCTTGGAAACCTTATACAGGGTCACTGTGAGTTGAAACCAACTTGATGGCACTTAACAACAACAACATATGCTAAAGGTTTAATATACATTATTATATATATAATACCTAATATACATGATTATATACATGCTACCAACAGATCCGTGTTGGAAGAGGTGCAGTCAGAGTGCTCCCTGGAGGCCAGGATGGCCAAACTTCGTCTCTCATACTTTGGACATATTGTTAGGAGGGAGCAGTCACTGGAGAAGGATATCATGCTTGGTACGGTGGAGGGTCAGGGATTAAGAGGAAGCCCCCCAATGAGATTGATTGGCCAAGTAGCAGCATCGATGGACTCAAGTGTGGCAACAGTAGTGAGGTTGGCCCAGGATCGGGCAGTGTTTTGTTCTGCTGTGCATAAGGTTGCTGTGAGTCGGTACCAACTCAATGGCACCTAACAACAACAGCCTAATTTAATCTTCTCAACAGTTATATTTGATGAGTATTAATAGCTTTACTCTGCAGCTGAATAAATTAAAGAACAGAGACGTTAGGTCACTGGTACAGAATTAGACAACTAGTGATTCTTGGGACTGAAATTTGAATGGAGGCATCTGATTCAAGAGTCTGTGCTCTTTACTACTGTACTACATGGAATACTGTAACTCATCATTCAAGATGTTGTTGCTATTAAGCTCTGTTTTTTTGGTTCTGACTAATAGAAACGCTATATAGGGTTTCTGAGGAGCAGCTAGTGGGTTTGAACCACAGACTATGAGGTTAGCAGTCCTACCCTATAGCACCACACAAGGCAATATACACACAAAAAGAAATACTATTTTACTGAGTAAAGGTATATTGCACATAAAAACTGCAAATGTAAAACATTCTGACACTGAAAAGTATGCTTTCCAAATAGCTAATGAGAAGTACAAGACTCCCATTGTAAATGCTACTGTAAAAGATCTCACTCGCTTTATTGTTAAATGCCATCGAGTTGGTTCATAATCATAGTGACCCTGTATAGGATTTCTGAGCCTATAAATCTTTATAGAAGCAGAAAGCCCCATCTTTTTTCTGTGGAGCAACTGGTGGGTAGGAACCACCGACCTCATTATACTCACTCCTGTTGTGGTACTTATAGGATAAGCACTGGACAACAAGTTCAGTTTGAACCACAAGATCAGTGGTTCAAACTCACCAGCTGCTTCTCACAAACCCTAGACAGGTTCACTGTAAGTCAAACCGATTTGACGACACTTAACAAAAACAACAAGAACTCTATTTTATATATTAAAGTTTACTTAATTATTCACTCTTACTTTATATTAAAGTTTTTATCTAAATAATTGCTATCCAATTTATCAACTTTAAAATGGCTAACTTATAAAATGGTTTGTTTGACATAGTATTATAAACATTTTAATAATTCCCACATTAAAAAAAAAACTTAAAGAGCAACAAAAATAAAAATATATAAGTAAATTATAACAATATTTTTAGGCAAGCAAGTATTCAATATTATATGTTCAACAGACTGCCAAAAATCACTGGTTTGCAAATACAAATGTGAATGGACTAAGCTTAAAAGCTGACATAACAATGGTAAAAAATGATGTTTCCAAAACATAGATAACTTGTATTCGAAGCACAGTTTCTCTTATTCTGTAATCAGAGAATAATGTAAAAACCATGTGTGTCGTCAAACATATTGCAGCCATACCCCTGCAAAAGTCACTTGAAGTTCAGGCCTGCATTTCGCTTTTATTGTCCTTGGAAGTCAAATTTTGTTGTCAACAAGCTTACAAACCCACAATACATCATTCCATTCAGTATGACCTAAGATGGGTATCTGAAAGTATTTATGATGCACAGGTAATGGAAAGAGTAAAAGAAAAACACTGTAATAAATCTGAAACATTAGAGATGATTGATTAGACAGATCATAAGTAAGCTCTCCATAAATCAGAGAAATAATAAAGAATGGGGGACAGATTGAATCATTCCAATAATGTGAAATGTTCAGAATAGGCAAGTTTACAATAGAAAACTTACATTACAAAAGTACATTAATGGTTTCTAGGACTATGGCCTGCTTTGGGGGAGATGGAGAGTGAATACTAATGGTTTCTTATAGGGGTGATGAAAATGTTCTAAATTTAGGTAATGGTGATAGCTACAAAATTCTGGATATTGAAAACCACTGAACTGTCCTTCAAAAGCATGAATTTTATTGTATGGGAATTATATCTCACTGAAACTGTTCCTAAAAATTTTAATCAGTCTTAACAAAGAGCAGGATTGTCTGAAAATATCCCTGGGGATTGATTTAGGCTTGCCCAGATGAATGTTCTATTTGGAACTTACAGTCTACTACCGTCCTCGTCCAGTGGGAGGAGCTGTTCTCCAGCTCAGCTTCCCACACAACTGGTAATTTCTCTTATTAGCAGGGGAGACTACAACTTCTGCAGACCTCAAGGCCTTTAGGGGTTGGGGAGCTGGAGTTTTCACACCCCTTTTTAAACAACTGACACTTAAACCCACCAAAACAAAACAAAGCAGTCCCTTAAAAAGAAAAATTGAAGACAATAAAACAAGGCTACATGTTAAAATTTCAACTTGATTTAAATAAGACTTTGAGATATGAATTGTATGTCTTTTGTTGTTGTTGTTGTTAAGTGCCGTTGAGTCGGCTCCAACCCATAGTGACCCTGTATAGGGTTTCTGAGGAGAGGCTTGTGAGATTGAACCACCAATCTTGTGCTTCAAACTGACAATATAGTGTAGCACATTAACCCACAGTGCCACATTAGGACTCCAAGGAAAAAATGAGCAGAAATTAAATGGATCTGTATCAGTCCTTCAAAGAAATCCTGGTGGCACAGTGGGTAAGTTAAGTGCTTGGCTGCCAAAAGAAAGGCCAGTGGTTCAAATCTACCAGCCACTCATCAGAGAAAGATGAGGCAGTCTGCTTTTGTAAAGATTCACAGTCTCAGAAACCCTGTGGAACAGTTCCAATCTGTCCTACAGAATCACTGTGAGGTGGAATTGACTTAACAGTAGTCGCTTTATCAATTCTTCTACAAATGCTTATGGATGACAGAATCATCATTTAATTACAATTAGCAAATATTTTATTTAGTCAGAGAAGCCATCTTGCTTATGCTATTGATTTGAAAGAAGCCATTTCCAACAGACCAACAGAGAAATAAGAGTCAAATTCTACTGTTACAATTTCTTAAAACACACATTTTATGGAATGTATGGGATCCTGGTGTGGCACTGTGGGTTAATGCATCAGACTGCAAAGTCATTAGAACTTCAAGGTAGGTGGTTCAAGCTCACCAGATGCTCCTTAGAAACGCTACACAGGCTCTCTATGGTTCAGAATTAACTTACCAGTACTTAACAGAAACAACAACATCCCTTCTACATGAAAAAGACAAAAATCCCCAAAAAGATGGACTGGCACAGTGGCAGAAACAAAGGGTTAGAATGTGACAACTATGAGGATGGCACAGGCCTGGGCAGTGTTTCCTTCTGTTGTACATACGGTCAGTATGAGTCAGAACTGACTCAATGGCACCTAAAACAATAGTCATTTAGGATTATTTTTTAAGGTAGATCAGGGCCACAAGGTAAATTTACATTCTAACTTCTGCCAGGATGATTAACTTTAAGTTTTAAAAAACTTTTATCACAAGAATTCTGAGACATGACAGAAATTAACTTTTCACAATCTAGATAAGCTGAGAAATGATCTCAAGTAATTTGACAGTGTTCCTAATAGCTCGGTTTTAGCTACCAACGACAGTAATTCAGTCAAGATCTTATTTCTTTCTGTTTCAAAAATGTCCATTTCCATAAAAAATGATGCCTTGTCTATCTTTTAAATTTCCTTATAGACCAGCACAAGGTTCAAAACACTCAGCAAACTTTACATAAAATTGATATTTATATGAAATGGAATAAGCAATTTTCCTATTACATGAGTTAAGGGTACATCTTCCAAATTCCCACTTCTTCTCAAATGCCATCACTATGATTATTTTTTTTTTTCTTTTTCTAAAAAGACAGCAAAACTAAACTCGCTCAAATTATATATTAGCTTAAAAGTTAAAATTTGTCAGTACTGATAATTCGTTCCCAGAAAACAAAGCCAGACAATTGTTATTTATTAACAGGTGTATGGTGGTGGTGGTGGTGGTGATGTGCCGTGGAATCGGTTCCGACTCATAGCGACCCTGTACAGGGTTTCCGAGGCTGTAAATCATTACGGGAGCAGAGAGCCTCATCTTTCTTCCACAGAACAGCTGGTAGTTTTGCACTGCTGACCTTGCGTTTGTTAGCCCGATTTGTAACCACTATGTTACCAGAGCTCCTTAACAGGGGTATAACATTATGTAAATGATAACTATATATGAATTTATAAAGAACAGTTTCATTCAGGTTCAGCTCCAATATTTTAAGGGCCTTGAGCAAGGACACAAATAAAGGTCCATATACCATATATATATATTAAATCATTAGATTATTTCTTCATATTCCTTGAC